CAGCAGCAACAACAACAACAACAGACGAGAAGAATGAACGAGGCCAAGCCAGGCAGGATATCTCTGCTCACTCGCCATGCCTCCGTAAGTCAACCGGCATGCCTACGAAGTTGACTGTGAGCCGTGGGGACACTCCAGGGCAGGCAAAGAGCATCACCACAAAAGAAGTTGACACGTGAAGGTACAACCGCGGTGAAGGAGCGCTCCCACGAACAAGTGGACCGCGAACCACGGGAATACTACCATTAAATGAGAAAAGCACCGCAAAGAGGGACACAACTGCTGCGACGAAGAAGCTGATCGACAATCATGAGAGCACCACCGTGACCAAGGAGTTGACCACGAACCGTGGAAAGGCCATCGAGGTGAGAAAGCACACCCCGCAACCGTGGTAATACCAACCGGATGGGAAAAACGGCGCCACGAAGAAGCGACCGCGAAGCGTGGGAGACCACCGCAGTGAAAACGCGCCGGCACTAAGAAGTTGACTGCAGACACATAAAACACTGCTGTGAGATACTCCGCCACGACGCATTTGACTGAAAATCGCGGGGGCGCCATTCCGGTGAAATAGCGCCGACACGAAGATGACCTCAAACCCTAGGAGTACCACCACGAACCGTGAGAACACTATCAAAGTCGGAAAGCACCCTTGCGCCAAGGTTAATTCTCATCTTATGATCCGGCACTGTGCCCGCACTGTTGCCCTACGGGAGATCGTTGAGGCACCAACTCCTGGCAAGCCTGTGCGCTTCTCCAAGGTTGCAGATTCCGCAGTATGACAGCATTTTAAAGTCCTTCAAACGTGCTCCTTCAAACTTGCATAGGCCGCAAAAGGAGCTCTTCAGACATTGCCGGCACTGTAATTTGCAGCGCTTCAACGTCTTCAAAAGCAGTGGATACTGCAACTGTTATTTCCTACGGCTATCGTTGATGATATTGCAAGTTACATCGTCTAAAATGCTGCGAAGGTTGCTGAGACTGGAATTTGCAGCGTTGAGCAGCGCCTGAAACAAACGCATGACGTGTTTCCCGTCCCGTCTTCCATCTGTTTTCCTACCTTTTTCATTTTACTTCCTGCCTTCTTGCATTCCCTCCTTTCTGCACCATGGTTTCCAGCAGCAGCTTCCCTTTGCAATTGTGCAGTTTGAGTCTGATCTGACCTGTTAGACCCGTCAGCTACTTGATCCTCATTCGATTCTTCACTGATGCCTATCCCTGCCACGAGCGTCACTTTGGCATTGAAGCTTTGGCCTTCCAGTTTTAATCAAATCTCTGCGCACTTTGGCACAGCGTTCAGGAGCTCATGCCTCTGCCGGTTACGGAGGCGCAAAATGAAGAAGGATCACTCGGCACGTTCAATTTAGCCAAACATAGCCAAGCCAAGCAGTCCAAATTGCTACAGCTACTCAACGTGGTCAAGGCTCAGATCTGAGCCTGGCCCACCTCAACTCAAAAGGAATCTCTCGCTGGTCTTGCTGAATTCGTACCTCGACGGATGTCCAAAAAAAAATGAGTCCGGCACAGCGGTACCAGCGAGGGGGCTCGAGGTGCAAACCTTAATGCTGCAATGCTGAATTGCACAAGTCTATTGGTGATATCTGGTCACGCAGACGACTTGAACAAGCAAGTGGCCACGATGCCACGGCTGCGGGGCCTGAGATTCAGAAGCGGTCTGGGCATGAGAAAGGACAAATATCATTCCTTGATAATGGCGCTTTCACGCAGCAGTCCAGATTTGGCGCCGTGCCTGCTGCAAACTCGTCCTCGGGACGAGCAGGTTGTCTGGTGAGGACCTCTTTGGTAGTCCTGCTGCATCTCTGGCCGACCACACGATTTGGAATGAGACGGCTAGGACAACACCACCCTCTCTGGTAGACACACGCACGAGGTTTGCGAATCATTTGCGCAATAGGTTGAATGGATGGAGATCTGCTGCCACTGCCTAGAAAAGGGATTTCAAGCAACCTGCCTGCCATCAACGCTCAGCCAAGCGTGGAAGCCAACGAGCAGCAGGACGCAAGGCAGTAACAAAGCTGCCTGGGAACAACACACAGCAATACAGCCAGTCTGTCGCCTAGTGCAATCATAAGGCAGCAGATGCCCTGCTTCGAGACTTGCTTTTTTGCATAGGTGGTCGCGTGGCAGCGGTGGCGTTAGAGTGGGAACCAAGCTAAAGCCACTCGTCGCCGAGGCATTCCATCAAGGGGCAGGTGTCGCAGGTTGCCGGATAGACTCATCGAGACCGAGACCAATTCGACCAAGGCAGGCATACCACATGTGGGGAATCCGTTAATTGCCCGCCGTGCAGCTAGCCCTCTCCACAAAGTCTTTTACCAACAGGTACACGCCGGGGTCATCAATGCCTAAATACGTGCTAAAGTCTGTTTTTTCCAACTGCTGCAGGTTCAACAGTAACGATCTTGCTGCTGCAGGTTCGTCTAGGAGTTCAGCGAAAGAGTCGATAAATGTCCGGATCGTAAACAGAATGCAGGAAGAGTTTTGGGGAAGCCTGGTCAGAGTCTGATATTCTACTTTCAGCCAGGCGCTATCCGCTAGCCCATGCAAGTCGACGGTGCGCTTCAGATTGGTCAAGCAAGCTTCCCGATCTTCTGCTGAAATTCCAGGGTTGCGATGCGGATAGCGGCTGTAACCAGCCATGATGTCGTCGCTCCACGATATGTTCCAATTGCTCCGGAACAGCGGGCGATGCGGTGACAGGGACGCAAACAATCGGTTAACTGGTCTCTCCAAGTCCCTCGCATACTGCGGGACATTGGCATGCAGACGCTCCATGTTCATGCCGAAGCGCTCATTAAATCGGCTGAAGCTGAACATGACGGATCCAGCACAAACAACCCCATCATCAAGAAGAACCAGATCCTCACAAACAAGGCGGGATGCTAGTTCAATTGGGCAGTCTGCAAAGTCACCAACCCGGAACTGCACATGCCAATCTGAAGCAGACATCACCACAACTGTGTCTGGCGCCAACCAGCTAGAACCTGCAAAGCCTGCATCGCTGGGCCCACGTATCACGTCGAAGTGCTCCGGATACATTCGTGGCAAATATTCGAGCAGCATCTCCAGGACCTCAACCTGTGCTTGAAGTGAGGTGGGGGTGTGGAGCAGATACTTCTCACGATCCGCCGACTCAAAAGTTTCCTTCTTCTTTTGCAAAATTTCGCGCCATTGGGACTCCCCGAACAGAATCCAATCTTTCTCCTGCAGACGGTGGAGATTCGGTCGCAAACGGCCACTGGGCGTCACAGTCTGTGTGAGGCCTTGACTCAGCCAGGTGAAAGCTGAGACCCTTCCGCTTCTCAGCCAACGTGCTTGGAGCTGCGAAGCGACTGCACATCGAAGCGGCCACATCACCAGCAAAGATCCGGAAAAAAAACTGAGCCAGCAAGATGTGCTCCGTAGAGAGTGGGAAATGCCAGAAGCAGCTATGAGTAGCAGCAACCACAACAAGCAGCAAAAAGCATAGTAGGAAGCCAAGCCGGCAATTGCACTCACGATGACTTGCGTAGTCTGATTGATTGATGGATTGAAGCCCATGAGCACCAGCTGCGTAGTCTAACATGATACTCGCAACGAACTTTCTGTCAACACCAAGCAGACTCTAGACTGAATTGCATTAGCCAGATTCAGCTGAGGCCATCACCGGAGCCAAGGCCTTGAACGCGCAACATCACGAGCTTTGTGCTTCTGCTGTTCATGTTCACCACTAGCATCACCAGCACCACCACTAACACCTCCAGCACCAACACCAGCACCAGCACCAGCACGAGCAACACCAGCACCAACACCAGCACCGCAGCACCAGCACGAGCAACACCAGCAGCAGCAACACCAGCACCGGCACCACCAGCACCAGCACCAGCACCACCACCACAAGAAGAAGCACCAGCAGCAGCAATAACATCAAGGTCACGATCACGAATTCACCGAGTGATTTAAAGCACCTATATAGAAACATGAACACACTGCACTCTGGTCATTGCACCACTTAAAAGGAGAATATGCCGCTATACGAGGGCTTTCAGAGGCCCTGATCCAAAAGAACCTGGCCTAA